CCTGAAGAAGCACTTTCTGGTTATTACTTGGGAAATAATTTACCTTATAAAACGGGCAAATTGATATTTAAACAACTCATAATGAGTGACACGCTTTGTAAAAAAATCACACTAATGGTAAAAGTTTGAAGCCGATCAGATTAGGCATTCTTCAGCAATTGGTCTCCCTCCAGTTCCAAGAATTTAGTCTTCGTTACCGTACACAAGCAATGAAAATGTGAAGATGAATGAATGAGGTGTTCGCCAGTTATGAGTGAAATAAAACCGAGAAATTGGAGGAAGGAAAAATAAAGAAAATAATTCAGCAACCTTTTATAGGTTCTCCTTTAGTGTTACTTAACGATGTAACTTCTTAGAAAGAAGAACAAGAAGATTCATCCCAGGAACAAGAAAGTAATTGTCAGCTGTACCGAATGGTAAATGGGTAAGTAATGATTGCCAATGAAGATTAGAAAGGTTGAAGAAACAGTTGATGGAACCACCAATTATTTTTATGTAATAAGAGATGAATGTCATCAATGGCACAAGGAAAGCAACTGGTGAAGGTAACAATTCTCAAGTTGATAAATTAGACACATGTGCAACTCTTGGGTATCTTTATTGAGGAAACGTTTCGCCACACAGTGGCTTCATCAGTCCATACGTAGGAGAAACTTGAAGAACAGGAGGAGAATGAGGTAATCAGTCCCTCAACCTTGAGTCGATGTGTTCAGTCCATCAAGATTGATGGACTGAACACATCGACTCAAGGTTGAGGGACTGATTACCTCATTCTCCTCCTGTTCTTCAAGTTTCTCCTACGTATGGACTGATGAAGCCACTGTGTGGCGAAACGTTTCCTCAATAAAGATACCCAAGAGTTGCACATGTGTCTAATTTATCAACATGTCGGTTCTCTGAACCATTCATCTACAAATTCTCAAGTTGTAGGAGATTCCTGAATTAATTTAGGAAATTTGCTTTCTCTAACAGAGATGAAAAGAAGCTGCCGGGATGGAGCATATAACTATCATCTTAAGGAACATAATGACAAGTAATGGGAGCAACTGTTTTATCTGCTTCAACACTTGGAGGAAATGATGTCCCAGAAGCCTAGCAGCTTCAGGGATCTATTCTGTGGAAAATACTGTATATATTTTCCAGAAATTCAGTATTTATATGTAAATAGATAGCCATACTGTATTTAATAATATTTATGTCATAGAAAACGGAAAGCCTGCGTTTGCGCAGACGAGACTCGCCATCTTGGTTTTGAATTGGATACAACGTTTATATAATGGGAAGAATTTTTCGTGCTCTAGAGGTTAAAATTGGATTGACACCTCTCAAATAGGAGGCGAAATTGTTGGATGTGCATTCCTGCATAACTTGAGATATCAGACGACTGGACAAGACAGCTCCATGAAAACCCCAGATAAGCTTCTAGATTTGTGTATAATTCTGGCCAGTGTTTCCATAAATTTAGCTAGTGAGGTTTTTCTGAGTATGATACAACTTAATATCCAGTCAAATTGGTGAGTGATATTAAGATATATTTTCCTTATGTTATGTATATGTGAATTTATATATAATCATTTTTTAATATACAGTCCACAAATTTATATATTTACCAGTATTCCTGGTGTATGTATATTTCATTTAATTAATAGGTCCAGAGCAACTTGTGGTTATGACAGTGGTAGGTATCGAAGGGGGACATTTTTTGCGACCTAGGTGTCCCAAATTCCTACTTGTCTAACTGATAAATAATAATTATCTGTTCATTTACTGTTATGTACATAGTGATACATTCAGCTAAATGCAATTTTCCACATATTCTATATGGTAGAGATGAAGTGTGCCGGAGATAGGGTACATTTTTACTGGGCAGATGGTAGAAACATTGATTCAGTAGAGGGAGTTGCTGCTACAGCGCTTCTTGATGTAACTGATTTAATTTTAGAGGTAAAGGCGTGTGTGCGTGAGAGAGAAAACAAGGGATTCTGGTAGCAGAGATTTTAAGAAAATCTATCGCTTACAGTTTCCAATGAACTTAATGAAAACTAGGCTAGTGGACAGAGGGATAACTTGAAATATTACATGCACTAACTTCTATAACTGGAAATATAACATTTTCCTAAATATTGCACATTTATAAGCTGCCCAGAGAACATACGTTCTCCATAGAGAAGCTAAATAGAATGCAAATGATTCCGAATGGATAAACAGGCTGAAAAATCCTCCCAAGGAGAGGGTCACTTTATGAACCAGTATGTTCATCTTTCCAAAGGGAGAGTCATCTTAAGAACTAATATGTTAATCTTTCTCAGGAGAGGGTCACAATATAACGCTGAAAGAGAGATCAGAATCAGGATGAGAAAAAAATAAACGAAACAATGAGATCAAATTTTCTAGAGAATATAAGACATATTAAAAGTGTTTCTTACAAGTGTATGGGAAGAAGATTTGGAAAAAAAATGGGTCCACTTAAAACTAACTCTGGACTGCTAACGGATTATGAGAAAGAAATGTTATTCAGTTGTTTTCAATTATTACCTCTCGGTCTCCACACAACAGGACACAAATTATATCCCAGTAGTTAATAATTAAAGAGAACTAGAGAATATAATTTCCATAATATCACAGTCACTAGGGACAAGATTATCGAACTAGTAGATTGATTAAAGCAATCATACGAGTTTTACTACTCAACTGCCATGAGTTCTAACCCCCCCCCTGTACCCTAGATTAATTAAAGCAAAATATGTATCAGATTCTTGAGGAACAGTTTTCAAAAATTCTTAAAGAATGCACCGTGAAAGACAAACGGGTATAATAACCGTTTGCAAATTTATGGAAAATTGAGTGTGATTTCTATCTACAAAACGGGAGGTAAGTCGCTTATGATAGACAAATTGTTGAATTACAAGTATATCCATAGTAGAATATACCGAGAAGTATATTAGTACGACACAATGTGCGATTTATGACACTTTTTTGAGGAAAGTTTATTCCGGGAAGAATTTTTATCAATTCTCTGGTGAACTAAACGTGTGGACAAGATAGTTTCTCAGTAAAATGTCATACACCGCATATTGTATCTTAGTGAAATACTGGCATATAAATTCAGACATATTACTGGTACAAAACGCATGCACTCTCTAGACATTATATTGAAGATGTATCGTCAATGGTGACTTTTTTTCAGTTCTCATAAAGATTGCTGAAAATACGGTACGTGTACACGATGTGGTCCACATCAGTGCAAATTGTGGGACTGATAACCTTGGAGAGGTGGATAAAAAAGGCTTCAAGGAAAATTATTTGGACTTCTTCCTGAAGCATTGCATGTATACTGTATATTTTATCATGATTGGGCATCCATCTTTATTCCCACACTCCCCTCAATGGACGTTCCTTGACGCTGGTGAGGGGGGACTCTTAATCTAGGGAATTGGATCTGTGCTCCAGTTCCCTGAATTGAGCCTGATTGCCTACCATCCCCAACATGCGCTGTATAATCATACGGGTTTAGCGCTCCCCATGATTATAATAATATCCCCACATTCAAATTATTAAAATCAATCGTAATGGATACAATTACAAGCTACTTTTTTTGTTAATGGTATAAAATATCGACAGGTTTATTAATAAGACATAAGAGCAACACCTGCGATTTTCTATTAACGTCAGAAAACAACTCACTTTGATGAGCAAAAATTGAGGAATAATCTTCAACACGGGGTCACGAGGGGTCGTGCTTACCTGTCAAATTTACTGACTTTCTTCAGTAAAGTATATGAGGCAGCTGTCAATCATAAAGAATGTGATATTGATAATTTGGAGCTGTGATAGTTCTGAACCAAAATTTTTTTAAAAAATTATTACCAAATTGTTAAAAATATGTTGAAAAAAAATTGGAGATCAACTTTTTTCATAAAATGAGACATGGCTGGTCAATAGAGTGCAGAGAGTTTTTATAAATGGAATGAATTCAGAAAATAAGCAGTCACAAGTGGCGTTCCTCAGCAATAGTGTTGGGACCCTTGGTGTTCATAAATTACCCTGACAAAGGGGAGGGAGTTTATTCACTGACACAAACGTAGGCCGACAAATCATTTAGAAATAGATACCAATTAACTACAGGATCATTGTTACAAGCAGATGTTACGGTCGGAATAAACACAGATGCAGTTCAATACGGAAAAAAAATCATCGATCTAAGTCTCGGGAATGAAAGTAACCATACTGTGAATGGTATACAATACTGACAAAATGATGAATAAGACACATGTGTGATTCATAGGAACATTTGTTTAATAACGAAACGTTATTAATACAGAGGCGATTACAGAGACGAATTATAATAGACGAGACAGTAAGAGAAGTAGAAAGGTAGTTTGAGGTGATCAGTCCCTCAGTCTTGATGGAGTATTTACCTCGTACAGAACTTTTCACTGCAGCCGCCTTTGAATATATTCTGTTTACTATTACTGTTATCAACTTTTCCTGTTATTCCTTTTTCACGCAATTTGTGGGTATTACACCATGATCATAATCTAAGGCTTGTAGACTAAATAACGTAGACAAGATAAAGCTTAGCCTGTAAGCGAAACATTGTCTTAATAAAGCTTATAAGGATTGTTTCAAATGGAAAATGACTTAAAATGCTGAAGCTACGCTTTTGCGTGATGTAGAATAAGCCGAAATATGATTGATGCATTCAAGTAGAAGACAGGTATCAATAATAGAGATATCGAAATAATGGAAATATCTATGAAACCATTCCTGATAATAGGTTGGATAAATTAAGATTTAGATATATTTTTGTAAAGACCACTGGACGAATAGTAGAGCTGTGAATGAGCAGAACACACTCCCAAGTAGAACCATTAAAGCTGATATTTTAGGTAGCTCTAAAAGTAGGTTCTACTGGGTTTGAGATACTAATAATACAGCGGTTCATTATTGACCCATGTCAGGATTTTGTACCTCCCACACTATGGGTATGGGTTACGTACCTTGAAGTGGGAGGGAGGAGAGTAGAGAGGAATACTGTGCCGCCCATAAGTAGTGGTGATGGTGCGGGGGCACCAGAGGCACGCCGCCATACACGTGCCGTCCGCCGCCGTGCAGAGGTATGAATCTGCGCACGTCTCCGAATCCAAAACTTTTGTCGGAGCGCAAGAGACCTTGGGCGGTGTCGAAGCTGGGGCGCTGTAGTACAGGCAACAGCGGGTGTGGGAGTGTGCACCCCGGAGCAGGAGACGGGGTCTCTAGTGCACGATGTGCGCATGTAGGCGATGTAGACGGTGACGGAGACGACAGTGGAGGCGAGGCTGCAGGTAACGTCGCTAGCGGTGTGACAGAAGTGACTCCTCTCCACATTAAAAACTCTTCGTCAGTGTGTGTACCTGCGATATCACTGCAGGGGTCGGAAGTACTAGTCTCCTGTGGGTGGCCGCGGAAAATATCACTTAGCACTCGATCACCATGGGGAAGTCTGCTAGTGTTATGTGCTGGTGGTGGCTCAGATGTACTGCTGAGATGTGCTGCAGTCAGCACGCATAGCTCACACCTGCACACTCCTGAAGAACCACCCTGAGACTCACACAATCCAGCACTTAGCAAAGGATGCACATTTAACGCTGTAGCGACTTCTGACGTAACTTTAGCTGGCTTGGAGCAGGTCTCAGGATTAATAGCATGAGCTGTTGTGTGGATATATGGCATTATGTCAGCATTAGTGTTTCCCTGAGCTTGTATACTGTCATGGGCGTGTGTGTTGCCATGGGCTTGTGTGCTGCCATGAGCTTGTGTATTGCCGTGGGCGCGAGTAGTGAGATCAAGACCCACGTCAATATCGTCCTTCATCACAGCACTTCGGCGGTCTTCACCCCACAAGAGATCTCTGATTAAGAATGAGCGAGGCATCTTAACTCAGGTTAGAGGCTCCAGAGGCAGACAACCCAGTGAGAAATACTTCCGAAGCAGCAGACACAGGGGCAGTAGGCTTGGTTAAGCTCAATGTCGGGTGAAACGTCTTACAAAAAAAATGACTCTGCTGTAGTTGTGTGTTTTTCACCAGAAATTAAAGCGCTATTTTCACCACTGACACACGTTCATTCCAATCCTGAAACCAACACCATTAGCATATTTTGCCAATGAAGCTGGTGTTCTCCTGTTAGCACTGGTATCATTACGCTTCTTACTACTACTGAATTTTGTAGCAATCAGTGATGTGACATTTTTTACACGAAGAAAACAGTGACACAACGTGAAGGTGTAAATCGCAAGAAAATGATTTTTGTGGCCTGTGGGACATTTTTTTTTAAAAATGCATCACCGACATTTTGTTCAGGATTTGTTAACGAGAGTCTGAAGAAAGTTAGTAAACTATAAAGTGTGAACGGCACCCGATGAATGACTACTGATACCGTGATGGAAACTTATCTTGGACAGCGGTGATGGTGTAGGTGAGATGGAGTATCAGAGCGTTTGGCTCTCTCCTGGGCACTGCCATCTGCCACTTCCCTCTCACCAACCAAACCTTAACTATTACGAAATCTCCGTCTCCAATTTTGATATATTTAGCCCTATTTGAAGTCGAAAAACTCGACCAATCGACCATCTTGTGGTTAGTTAACAAACTGAAGTGTCTGAAGTATATTTAAAATTATATGATTTGGAGGACTGCCACTAAGTAAATTAGCTTGATCATTGGCGGACTGATGACATTAGCTCCTCCCACTGGCACTGTGGGCGGGGCCTTCCCATACCCATACGAACGTCAGTGGGTATTTAGGACATAATTACGTTGTAAGTAGTTCTTCAGGAGTAAAGCCGCCGGTGGAAACCTAAGGAGTTTAAGTCATAAGGTAAATAAACTGATGTAGGTACCAACACACATGATTCAGTCGTCCAGTTGTTTGAATAATACAACCTGAGGGCCACTTAAAGCGCACACACACACACACACACACACACACACGCACACGTACACACACACACACACACACACACACACACACACACACACACACACACACACACACACACACACTCGCACACTCACAAATCAGCCCAAACATTTATCGACAAGTTCTTCGGCGCATGATGAGGCGAGACACAGACCCAGTGGAATTAAATTTTTGAACACACCAGCTATCTTCCACCGAAAAAAATATGACGCCTTCAAACAAGAAAACACATTCACCATTATTCACTCAATAACCCTCTTGCCAGAATTGGGCAGACGTCACAATTCAGATCATCATCGGAAATAAGTCACTATGTCTGATTTTACTGCCTTACCTTAGCTAAACTGACACGTATGTTAAGAATAAGTCACATGTACAGTAATTAGGTGTCTTTACCCAGGTGCTGCACATGTGTCTTGCTCATCAACTTATTGTTGATTAATACCATTAATACATAATACCATTAATACATAAGTTCCTAAATGAGACAATTTTAGAAAACTAAATCATGTGCACTGAACCTTAAAAATATTTACACGAGGGTGAGCGTGTGCACCCAAAGTTCACATAGGCAAGACGGTGTACATGCATACTCTAATATTTAGTGTACATGTTGTACATGTACACTAAATATTAAAGAAACCAGACTTCTCATTCTCGAAAAGAACAATGCCACTACTGAGCAGCATGTCGTGCTCTCTTCAAAATTTTGGCTGGACACAAAATTGACCAATTTTCTTGAATGAAGTGTAAGAAAAGGAATAATAATTTTGAAGAACAAAAAGTCCATTGTCAAGTCACAACTGGGGCGAAAAAAGGTAGAAAAGGCCAGAAGACAAATCCCATTGGTTTTTGAAGAGCAGTGCCACTCCTCCCACCTCTCTGTTCCCTGTGTCTTTTCTCAGGATCTGATGTCCAGGTGGAAAGATGGCGTCTGTTATCACACCTGTCAGATTGGTTTCCGTGAGAGCAATGATGTCTGATAATGCCTCTGTTCGTGGCGAAGAATTTATTTCGAATTACCCGGAGGGTTAGTAACTTAGGGTAACCCAGAAAAGCCACTGTCTTGAGACTGGCTTATTTACTGCCTGGTCCAACTGCCGGGCAGGAAATATTATAACATGACAGTACGAGACAAGTTGAAGGTAACCCAATGTTCAAATACAGTGCCTAGAAAATAGGTCTGATCAAGAGAGTTTCGCCAGCATCAAAGCATCATCCTCCCAGGACAAGACATGCATAAATAACTACTTAATGTTAGTGAGATTTAATGTTGTCATGGGGGTCTTTTACTCTGCTCTGTTGTGAGACATGGAGTTCTTGTACTCTGCTCTGTTGTGAGACATGGAGTTCTTGTAGTCAGCTCTGTTGTGAGACATGGAGTTCTTGTACTCTGCTCTGTTGTGAGACATGGAGTTCTTGTAGTCAGCTCTGTTGTGAGACATGGAGTTCTTGTACTCTGCTCTGTTGTGAGACATGGGGATCTTGTATTCTGCTCTGTTGTGAGACATGAGGATCTTGTACTCTGCTCTGTTGTGAGACATGGGGATCTTGTACTCTGCTCCCTTGTGAGACATGAGGATCTTGTACTCTGCTCTGTTGTGAGACATGGGGATCTTGTACTCTGCTCCGTTGTGAGACATGAGGATCTTGTACTCTGCTCTGTTGTGAGACATGAGGATCTTGTACTCTGTTCTGTTGTTAGACATGAGGATCTTGTACTCTGCTCTGTTGTGAGACATGAGGATCTTGTACTCTGCTCTGTTGTGAGACATGGGGATCTTGTACTCTGCTCTGTTGTGAGACATGGGGATCATGTACTCTGCTCTGTTGTGAGACATGGGGATCTTGTACTCTGCTCTGTTGTGAGACATGGGGATCTTGTACTCTGCTCTGTTGTGAGACATGGGGATCTTGTACTCTGCTCTGTTGTGAGACATGGGGATCTTGTACTCTGCTCTGATGTGAGACATGGGGATCTTGTACTCTGCTCTGTTGTGAGACATAGGATCTTGTACTCTGCTCTGTTGTGAGACATGGGGATCTTGTACTCTGCTCTGTTGTGAGACATGGGGATCATGTACTCTGCTCTGTTGTGAGACATGGGGATCTTGTACTCTGCTCTGTTGTGAGACATGGGGATCTTGTACTCTGCTCTGTTGTGAGACATGGGGATCTTGTACTCTGCTCTGTTGTGAGACATGGGGATCTTGTACTCTGCTCTGTTGTGAGACATGAGGATCTTGTACTCTGCTCTGTTGTGAGACATGGGGATCTTGTACTCTGCTCCCTTGTGAGACATGAGGATCTTGTACTCTGCTCCGTTGTGAGACATGGGGATCTTGTACTCTGCTCCGTTGTGAGACATGAGGATCTTGTACTCTGCTCTGTTGTGAGACATGAGGATCTTGTACTCTGTTCTGTTGTTAGACATGAGGATCTTGTACTCTGCTCTGTTGTGAGACATGGGGATCTTGTACTCTGCTCTGTTGTGAGACATGGGGATCTTGTACTCTGCTCTGTTGTGAGACATGGGGATCATGTACTCTGCTCTGTTGTGAGACATGGGGATCTTGTACTCTGCTCTGTTGTGAGACATGGGGATCTTGTACTCTGCTCTGTTGTGAGACATGGGGCTCTTGTACTCTGCTCTGTTGTGAGACATGGGGATCTTGTACTCTGCTCTGTTGTGAGACATGGGGATCTTGTACTCTGCTCTGTTGTGAGACATAGGATCTTGTACTCTGCTCTGTTGTGAGACATGGGGATCTTGTACTCTGCTCTGTTGTGAGACATGGGGATCATGTACTCTGCTCTGTTGTGAGACATGGGGATCTTGTACTCTGCTCTGTTGTGAGACATGGGGATCTTGTACTCTGCTCTGTTGTGAGACATGGGGATCTTGTACTCTGCTCTGTTGTGAGACATGGGGATCTTGTACTCTGCTCTGTTGTGAGACATGAGGATCTTGTACTCTGCTCTGTTGTGAGACATGAGGATCTTGTACTCTGCTCTGTTGTGAGACATGGGGATCTTGTACTCTGCTCTGTTGTGAGACATGGGGATCTTGTACTCTGCTCTGTTGTGAGACATGGGGATCTTGTACTCTGCTCTGTTGTGAGACATGGGGATCTTGTACTCTGCTCTGTTGTGAGACATGGGGATCTTGTACTCTGCTCTGTTGTGAGACATGGGGATCTTGTACTCTGCTCTGTTGTGAGACATGGGGATCTTGTACTCTGCTCTGTTGTGAGACATGGGGATCTTGTACTCTGCTCTGTTGTGAGACATGGGGATCTTGTACTCTGCTCTGTTGTGAGACATGGGGATCTTGTACTCTGCTCTGTTGTGAGACATGGGGATCTTGTACTCTGCTCTGTTGTGAGACATGGGGATCATGTACTCTGCTCTGTTGTGAGACATGGGGATCTTGTACTCTGCTTTGTTGTGAGACATGGGGATCTTGTACTCTGCTCTGTTGTGAGACATGGGGTTCTTGTAACTATCTTTATTTTTTAATTTTCTCAATTTTATCTTTATGCATTAATTGGAATATATCAACACAATCATATAGTCAATGGCGCACTGGTAGACTTTTTTTTTTTTATATCAGCTTGGAGGTTCCCTGTGTCTTCAGTGGATGCTACTTTCATGCAAATTTTTGTGACGTCTACAAAGGATTACATGGTGCCATGGATTATGCCTCTGTTTTTGTCGGATATGAAAACGAGAAAGAAGGGAGACAAGTACCATGCCTTCAGAAACAGGGTTTTTAACTAAGTCAGCCTCTGATTTCACTCTGTTTCTTCAGGTTCCATTTGTAAGGAAATTATATATCCATTTGCACACCACGCAGTTATTCCTTCTGTGCGCAAGTACCCCCATGGTCGTACTTGTCGAAGGTGTACTCAGATTTAGTGTACACTACGTTTGCATTATGCCTGTCATCCGGTTTATCCAGACAATGTCGTAATGGTTTAGCAATCGTGTTAGGCATATTGTCCTGGGTTGTGCAATTGCTGCAATTCCATGTGGTTAGCATTCATGCTTCTTAAAACCCTTTCAAATATTGTAATAATGCGGGACGTCATGACTATTGATCAATAGTTATTTGTCAATGCTTTACTGCCACATTTGTGGAGTGGGATTATATCGGTAGTGCGTAGTGAAGGATGGTCCTAGTGTGCAGATTTCTTTTCGATAGAATATTTAAAGCATGCGAGAGAGAGTCATACTCTTCAAGTCACTCTTCCTTTCTTTATTCATCATTGGCACTTTTTCATTCATCAATTGTGACCTCTATTCATCACTGGTGACCTCTCTATTCAATTCTGATGACCTCTTAAGTCATCACTGATGGCCTCTTTACCCATAATGGTGACTTCTTTATTAATCACTAGTGAATTCTTTATTCATCACTGATGATTTCTTCAACCATAATAATGACCTCTTTATTCACCATTGGTTATTTCTTTATTCATCACTGGAGACTTCTTTATTCATCACTGAATACTTCATTCATC